GGGGACAGAATACTTCTGTGTGATCTGCAGGCTCTGGAGTCATCAGTCCTTTCCTCTGGGAAGGAGAACATGATTAGCTAAATTCCAAAATCATTTCCCGGGGAGAGACACTGGAGAAATCTCTGTGAAAAAACAGCTGTAAGGCCAACCATGCCGTGAAGAGCCTTGAGCTGAACTGTAATGTGCCCTGTGAGGGGTGACGTAGGCTAGAGGAATGGCAGGGGTGGCTGGGAACTAGAACCAGCATGTCTCCCTTCACTCCTTTACCTTCTGCCCTATCTTGACCTGGGAGACCCCCTCCCACTCTGCTCATTAGAAAATCTTACCCGTGCTTTTTGCTAGTACAGTCTGTTTTGAACTAGTTGTTGGCAAGATGCCTGACTGAGCAAGAACCGCACAGATGTCTCTGACTCTGTCCTTCTCTCTCTCTGCCTGTCAGGCTCTTTCCTCTTGTGTTTGTTAAGGCTGTAATATAACAACAGGTCAGCTAAGCTGGTTATGAACTCCTTATCTGAAATTCTCGGTAATCGCCACACCAGAACTCTATGAAAGAATTGAAGTTTTCCATGGCGAGAGGAATCTTGGCCAAAATGCTCTGGGAGTGTTTCACTTAAAAAGCAATCCAGAGGAATTCTTTAACTTGTGTGCTATTTACAAGGGCTTACCTTTTTTTAATCTTTTTCCCCCTTTTGCATGTTGTGTGTAATAAACTAGAATAAGCAAGTCAAATATGTGGACCTTGGAGGAGCCTACGTGGGGCCAACACAAAATCGTCTCCTGCGGTTATCTAAAGAGTTAGGAATAGAGACGTATAAAGTGAATGAAGTTGAGCACCTGATACACCATGTCAAGGTAAGATGCTCTCAAGCGTGCTGCTGTAGACAGGTGAGTTGTAGTGATCTCCTTTCTCATTGTCTTCCATCAGTGCTACAGTGGAGTATACCTGTTTAAGTATGAATCATCTGAGTTTCTTGGAGAAAAATAAGTATGTTGGTAATGAAGAATTCGTACAAATTACTATATGCATGCACAACTGCGTGTGTACCCTGTAGACGCATCCTGTTACTGGTGCCTTAGTTCAGGTCTGAGCTCTTCGTGAAAAGGTCTCAAAAAGCTTCATTGTTTATGAACAGTGCAACTGTGACTCTTCTGTACAGGTCAGCTCTCATATACACTGCCCAAGTCCCTTTCAGAAGTCCTAGAAGTATCTTCAATCAGGCTGAAAGTTTCTCAGGATGGGCCTTGTAAACCAGTGACAATTATTATCCTGACTGAAAGAAACGTGAGAGGTTAAGTCTGGTTTTGCTGATGGGGAAACTAACACGCAGAGTAGCAAAAGGCATTGTAATAGTAATTGCAAAAGGCTCTGGGAGTCAAACATTTTTGTGGAGGCAGATCTAAATGATCTGTTCATGATCTGAAACAGGACAGCTATGGCAAAGCTGTTAAGAAGCCCATGTATTCTCAATATTTGTACTATGTTTTCTCCAAGAGCATCCTTTCTCCTTTCGTGATATAGAGCAGCGTTGCAGTCCCACAGAAGGGAAACTTTCTGCGTTAGTCCTGAAGAAATTAACATTGAGTTTCATTATATGCTTTTGCCAGTCATTGCACAATGGCTTTTCATAATATTTGTCAGATAGTAGTTGGTGTTTGATCAAAGATTAAAGAAAACATTGACAGATTTAAAAACAGCAATAGAGAAAAGGTGTTCTGACATATATTTTCCAATATTTTTCCCATTCAATTGTTATAAAAAAGTGTGTTCTCAAAGTGATTTGCTATGGTGACTGTCCACAGTTACTTCTGCTGTGGTAGAACTGATGGGTACATCCACACTGTTCTGTTTTGCGTGCCTGTGGCATCATCCTCAAAGCCAAATTTTCTGCTTGTTCACATTATTTAGCCTTCAGAGTCTCCTCAATAGCAATAGGAGGTCATGCCATGAGGGGAAACCTTAATGGTAGAAGACAATTGACATGGCCAGTCAGGATGACCAGCTCTCGGGACAACCTTGCTGTCCTAGCATGGGGGCATTCCAGAATGCTGCCAGAAGTCACTGAAGCCAAAGCTGAAGCTGACATTTGGGCCTGATTTATTGTCAGCAGCCAGTCAAGCATGGCTGCTTGTTTGGTAAGCTGGACCCCATTTTCTTTTAGGATCTCTACGAACCAGCTTGTGGGGGGATATTGGTATTACTATGCTGGTTGAAATAGCCTTTTGTTTTCAACAGGCTTTTAGAGTGAGGAAAACAGAGAATGGCAGAAAAGTAGAAGTTTGGGCTCCTGCCAAGGACAGTCTGTCTTTCCCTTGACCACAAGTGTCTTATTGCATGAGTTGCCAAAGGTTGCACATAGCCTTTTACCGTCATCTGTAGATACCTTTTAGCCCAGGGCGGTGAGTGCTGGTGTGAGTCAAGGCTCTCAGCTTTCCTCCCTACCCAGCACTGACAGGACTGGCATTCAGGGACGTATTCCAGACTGGCAGAGAGGGGCATGCCTTGGCTCTGTCTGTACGTTGGGCGTAGAAAGGGCCTTGAATTGGGACACTAAGCCATTAGGACACAAGTCCAAGGAACCTATACGGTAGCGTGACTTGTATCCAGAAATCCAGAGGTGGGGGAAGCCACTCTGCTCCTGGAGGCATTCAAGCCATCCAAGCCTGGAGATACGGGGTTCTTGCTACTTTGGTTAATGCCTGCATCTGTGGAAACATCCTGGGGGAGCTGTGAGGAAGGCTGAGGGCCTGGGCTTGCTCCAGCACTCATGTGCCTGTGCTAACACCTACTGAGATGCTCATAGACGACAGGTTATGCCCTTACATATGCCAGGGGAATGGAGCATCCATGGCAATTTGATGCAGGCAAGTGACTCAGTCTGAGTGCTGGCAGGCATGTGCGAGATTGCACTATGCCTTACGCAGAGCCATGGAAAAAGCTGCCCTGGAAGGGACCTTGGAGGTTCCTACTCCACCCTGGGCTTGGAGCAGTGTCTACCTCATAGTTACGTCAGGTTGCTTGGGGCCATTCCCAGTCAAGTGTTGAAAGTCTCCAAGGAGAGGGATCCCATCTGCTGACTGAAGTACTCCCAAGGCATGCTAAGAGCCTGCAGGTTGGATTCAGACAAATTTTGTAGGCCCAGGCTCCCAATGTGGCTGCGTGTAGGAGAGCTCCTGAAGAGAGAAGGGAGAGAAGTGTGTGCCAGGACTCCCTGGAAGCCAGGAGGAGACAGAGAGAAGACATATTCCACAGTCAGTAGCTCCTCCTTTGAATCTCCTAATTTCACTCATTTTAAGTCCTTTATTTCCTTTTTGCTTCTGTGTTTATACAACTGTGGAAAAGTATTATCATAGCAGAAGAATTACTTGCAGTTAAGGAATTGGAAGATGAACAGTATATAGTAGACATATGCATTGTTTTGTGGCCAAATCAGTGTCATAATCTTTACCCTTTTGCATTTCATTTAACTGTAATACGTTCCTTGGAGATCTCTTACTTTCAGCTGTGTGGCTTGCCCATGCATTCCCTGAAAATGGACAGTGTTCTTGTGAGCTCCCTGAAATTTAAGTAGTACTCTCAAGTCATAGCTTGCAAATAGGATTCCAAAATACGCAAATGTCTGTTGCCCCTGCATGAATTTGAATTCACATGCTGACCCAAGCTTTGTGACTGTGGCAAAATCTAATTAAATTCTAGACCACAAAATTCTCTCTGAACCCAGAGAGGCAATGAAACATAAAGGTTTTAATTCTTCTCTTGCTACACAATCAGGCATCACAGTGCATCTTGTAAAATCAGCTGCTGTTTTCGCATATACGCAAAGGCAAAAATCCAGCCTTTCATAGTTAATTAAATTCATTTTAGAGGCTTTTTAATACAAGTAATATATGCAGCTTCTTTGTACTACAAAATGAAAAGAATGCATTTTGTTGATCTCTGGGTGGGTCTCTGCTAATTAGGCTTTACCAACTTGATTGGGTTGTGTGGTTTTTTTCGCCTTTAATATTTTTAAATGTCAGGTTCTATTGTGAGATTATTTTTGATCTCACTTATATTGTGTGTGATATCTTCACAGAAACTCAAAATTATATTTCTTGCCCTACATTTTTTTTTCTTTTCCTCCACTTGTTAAGCAGCCTTTTGTATGGTCTTTGAATGGAGATTAGTATGTTCTTTTCATTTGCGTAAATACTGGTTCATCAGCCTTAGTGAGAAAATTGGTATAGCTCTGCAAGTAGTATTTGGTAGGCAAATTGCTGCCTGAACACCATTGCTTTTCCATGGCGTAACTGAAGTTAGGTTCATAAATCCAGATTAAAGAAGAAAAAGCAGACCTATCTGAGAAGTCATCATCTCCTAACAGTGCTCCCATTGGACTGATAAGCAGATGTAAAACACTTCTTAAAATAAGGTAACTTCTCCTTAGTTGCCCAAGAGAGGATTCAGGGCCCTACCTTAGATAGGTAGATTTGCAACTTTTGACTGGTGGTGGTTATTTTCCTCACCAAAATGACAGCTTTTGTCTTAGAAAAACAAACCAAAGTACATATAGTCCAGGTCATTTTTACCTTTGCCATGTAACAGTCCCTAGAAAGAAGTGTTGAAATAGGAAAACATGTCAATTATTGTGAGGGTTTAATTATCAACATATTTTCTTTGTTAATTCAAATTGTACTTCACTTTTGTGCAGTCCCAATAGCCATGCAAATTTCTTACATTTTAAAACACAAATTTATCAAATGTTATGAAATATGACACAGGTTCTTGACAGGGAGTTGCTGATGACTTCATTACCTCAGTTAAGTTCCCTGTAGAAGAATGGGGTTTTCTCATACCCATTCATCTGCCAGCAGCACTGGCTAGAGGTGTCCAAATGCATGTCATGCCCTCTTCAAGTTTAGCACAACTTTCATATACAATCGGCCTCTCTGGGGAGAATGCTAATGTGAACCCAGTCTGCAGCACATACTGAAGGTGAATATTTAGTCTTATACATGCAATACTTTTAACTAGGACCACAAATCCGCAGTGATGTTAGCGGGTTACGTACTGATCTACAATAGATCTGCAGAAAAAAATTTTACAGCCCTCTTGGGTGTCATTCATTTTCAGCTCTATTGTGCTTATTAAAATGCAGTTTGCTGTGGTCTTGTTCATGAATAAAAAATGTGATGGTCCTGTTGTACTGGGATTTAATTAGCAGCTGGATAAGTGCTATATCTAAAGTTATAGAATTTATTGGTGTTTCTTCTGTGGTATCAGTGATATATGCACTGAAGCTAAGCAATATGATTTATTTAAGCTTTTGATCTCCTTCTCTGCAAATCTAAGGGCAGTATCTCCTGGCATAGTCTGTAGTATATAACGTAACAGCTTAAATGTGTTTGTTTTTTTTTTTTTTGAACGACTAGATAAAAGTACTTTCATTTTTCTTTGTATATCTTAGAGTGCAGTCAGAGAATGAAAAGTCTGTGAGACTCTCAGTTGCCATCAGTTTAAGCGAGGAGAAATGGCATCACATTTCCCCCCCCACCCCACCCCCACCCCCCTTTTTGCTGACAATTTGTAAGCAAGAGCTTGGGGAACTGAAAAGAATACATCTGAATCTTTAAGAAGCTGGGCATCTGGTGTCTTGAAAAGGAAGTCAAGTAAATTCAAAGATGCTTAAATTACTACAGGGCCTTGGTAATTTCATATGTCATTACTGGAATGCAGATCTGTGTTATTTTAACTCTTCACTAGATACGAGGATGCAGGCATTTCTGTCACAAGACGCCATGTTATTAATCACGCTCGCTGGTAGCCTCAAAAGTGAGTCTGAGGATTGAATAGGCTGAGGTTGGTGAAAGCATCT